ATCAAAGCATAATAAAACATTAATCCTTCTAAATATGAAAATGCATAACTGATCTCTCATAAACTATCCATCAATTTTCAAAGTTGGTTTTATCAAACAAAGAACTACTAGAATTTGTAAAAGTATTTCATCAATTTGAAAAGTAAATGTTATGTCTTCAACAGCTAAAATAACATAATTAACAAAAGTAATCAATAATAAAATATATCTTGATAAATGAAAATTATTTAAAACAATATTTTGATAAAAATAGATTTACTAATAATTTGATTGGAACGTTATCCACTTACCTGTAAAGTCTCTAAGTGTATAACTTACTTTCAATAGTCTTGTAGTACAATATTTGACCTTTAAATTCATATTACCCAAGTAATACTATTGTCATTCATTTATAAACTTTATTATTCAAGACTTCAATTCAAAATTCCAAAGAGATATCACAAATAAACCTCAATCTCTGCTTTTCTCAAATATTGTATCAACATTTTGCAAACATGAACTCTTTAACTAATAAATTTAGGTTCTTTTATCCAAATATTATCCCAATCATTTTCCATAAATTTTTCAATGTCAATGCATGTTTAAATTAATCAAACTTCTTCTTCAACATAAATCAACTTTAACACTCAAAGAAAATCATCTCCCAACTTCACATTACTCACAGTAGATAAGAAGGAAGGGAAAAATTCATAATCTTAACCAACGGTTTCTCAACAACCATATATACTTAAAGAATATTTTTATAATCAAATTCTTTTGCCACCTTCAACTTAAACTCAACTGAATAGTGTTTGAGTCAAACATTCCTCTCACCATAATTAATAAAATTTGAGCAAAAAATGTATGATCAAACAAGGCTTCCCTAAGGGGCATTTTATCAAACATCTTGCATACATGAATTTTCAAATTTTAATACCTAATTTTTCTCTCCAAATCCTATCCCAAAGTTCTTCCAACAATTCACCAGCACCAAGACTCCAATAAATTCAGCTCATCCACACGGTCACAGCCATAGAAATAGACAAAATGATCATTTAATTTTTTTTAAATTTTTTTTTTGGTTATAACAATTTGTCCTTACCCACGCACATATATTCAGCAAAGAGAGACAAACACTTAGTAAATTTAATTATCCACTCACGCATAGAATCATTAAGAAGGATAGCTCAAGGCTTCTCACGTTAACCCTCAATATTGACAGAGACAAGGAAAGAGATAGGACATACAGCAGAACAAGGAAGAAATTCTAGTGTGATGCACGAATCAGAAAGAGGAGCAAAGCCAACACAACCAAATCAAAAAGCAAAGGACTTACGAGTAGCACCCCAGTGCCAGGATTCAGCTTTCACACCCACCCATGGCATGAAAACAAATTGCAAGTGGCGAAGACAGACGAAGATGAGAAGAACAGAGATGGACCTAAACGTAGCAAGGTGGCAAAGAGCACCCTCCTTGGCCCGCGACAGTTGGAAAACGAAGAGAAGGACTTTGGCTGCCATAATTTCTGACGACAAACAAACTAAACAGCAGCTAAGGAGACTAAGCCGAAGGCAACACAAAGCAAGGGAAGGGGAGAAACAGTGACCTGGACCTCCTAACGACGGGCTTACTCACAACCATGCCGGCGACATTCAAGACGGTGGAGAAAGGAAGAAGAACGATGAGAAAAAGCGGAGGATGAAGCTTCTCCATATCTAGATTTCTCTTCCTCTCTCTCTGCCTCCAGAACATTGAAAAGAAAAGACTAAGGAAGAAGAAAATTAAGCTGATGGAGATGAGGCATCATGGTAAATTGTTAACGCTAAAATTGGCAAAAAAAAAAAAAAAAAAAAACTCTTTCATTTGCACCAATAAGAATCGAAACCCATGACCTGATACAAGGGATATCAATGCCACTCCCACTAAACCAACATTTCTTCTTCCTATAATTATTCCAAAAATTAATATGAAGTATACTTAAAATATGTCTCCATAAATTTAATTCTTTTTTCCAAAAATTCTTGCGTTACTATAAAAATTAAATTTCTAGATTATTACAGGCTTAAATCTAAATCCATATATATATATATATATATATATCCAAACATAGCATTATTGTGTTTTGAAAAATTCTATGTTTGAGTTTCCCATTCTCCACCATTATTTTCATAAGCTGATTGATAACACCATGAGTTAGCTCAGTTGCTTCATGTTTCTGCCCCCTCCAAAGTGCTATGAGTGTCTTACAACTTAAACAAACAAACAAAAGAATACTTGCTGAAATTTCAATGAGAAAAAATTTCAACAAGTCTACAGCCTCAAAAAGAGCCACATACAGCTCTACTACAAGAAATAAAATACTGATAGAGTGAGGAAAAATAAATAGACCAAAGATGGGGAAGATTTCCAAGAAACAGAAAGTAAAATCTACAGAGGAGGAGAACCAAAGACAACAACCAAAATATTCCACACTCTCTCCAATAGTTTGCGTAGCCTTTATTCTCAATCAATCCTTGAACTGTGCAGGAATTTGCCTTGCATGAACACTGCGTCTAACGGTCTGCTGCAACATATTGTCCTTGACACTATGGTTAGCTGCCATTTGTCCCATGTCCAATTCCATTTTGTAGCATAACACAAAGCTCCTCAGTATCTATTTTTCCATAACCCTTAATTTGGATGGAGAGAAAATAGAGAGGAAGGAAAACTAGGAGAGAAAAAAAAAGGCCCCAAAAATAGTAACAATTTATTATTTTTAAAGAATTTTTCTCTTATTTTTCTCTTCTTATTTTCTTCCCACTTTTTCCACCATCCAAACCAAGCCTAATGCCCTGTTCAGTAGCACGAAAGAATGTCCGATGGAAGTGCAAGTGAAAGAGGAAGAGGAAGTGAGGTGGAAATAGGTTTTAAAACATGTTTGGTATACACATGGAAGAATGGGTCATATTTTATATATGAAGGAAGTGGAAGAAGAAGTGGATTCTGAGTATATATGAAGGTGAAAGTGAGTTTCAAAAATTTTGACATAACTCGATTCTCTGGAGAAGTGAGATCAACTATACCCAACAACCTATTTTTTCAGTTCCGTTTCAACTTCTGCTAGTTCGATCCTAATTCCACTTCTCAAATCCCATTTCCACTTCCAGTTGCCTTCTTTTGCTCTTCCAAAGCTGATCTGAGAATTTCTTTTCAACCAAACTTGTAAGTCACAGGAGGAAAAAGATTACACACAAATGAGGTTAATTAAATAAAGCCATACTTGTTTTGCAACGCCACAGTGACAAAGGATATGAAGACTAGTATGGACAATTTACACTCACACTCCTCTCTTAGCAATGAGTGGGTCAGTAGAAAGTCTCTTTGGAGAACTTGCCAAAGTTTTTGCTTATAATTGATTCAATAGTAATATTTATAAATATAGATAATTAAAATGAATAATATTTTAGGTTAATCAACATACTTTTTTTTCGAATGACTAAGTAAAATATTTTTTTTTCATATGTGCAAAGTAGTCATGTAATTCTTAACTTTTAAAACTCTTCTTCATATATATGACTATTAGTGTCATTATAAATCTAGGTAGTCACTTTTGTTTTATAATTCCTTCATTAAAAAATATAAGGCATTTTTTAAATAAATTTCACCCTCCAATAAAGTAGTTTATTATCTTTAAACTAATACCATCTTTTCATATTTACTCTTATTTAATAAGGTGTTTCAATTTAAAATAAACATAAAGTGATTTATTTATATGGGCACTTTTGAAAAAAAAATACATTAACTACACCTTGAAACACTAAAAATACCTTACATTTTTTAATAACTAATGCTTCAAAAAATATTTTATTATTTTTAACGGAAGTAGTATGTGTTTTCTCTTGTCAATCCAAATGACCAAATGAACAAATGTTATAAGACTTTCTTCCGTGAAGGACCTTTTCTCATCACCCTTCTACATTTTTTTTCTCTTTTTTTAAATTCTATATGCTAATATGCATTTTTTTTCTTGAAGAGGATCTGGCCTCAAATGTACAATAAAAAATATATATAATTATGATATATGTGGTTTATCAATTTTTTAATTATAAATTCAGTGGATTTTTACAAAATCTAATACATTTTTAAAAGTATTAGAAAAATAGTGAAAGAGTAAAACTTATTCAAATTATTATTATTAAATAAAAAGTTAAGGTGAGTTGAATTACTTCCTGAAACTCATAAGGCAAGACATACCTTAACACTTACATTACGCTTACAATTGTGTTTATAAATTGCCTATTGATAAAGTTTTCAGATCAACATCGAGATTCATTATTATTGTTGTTGCTGATAATAAATGCATTGTTTAAAGAAATGGTGAATATTTTTTTTACGGTTGCTGTCCATTCTGAAAAAAATAAAAAGGAGAACATTAATAACCAACTAGTGTTAATTGGTCCTAATGAAAAGGATTATAAGCGTTTAAATATGAGATCTCTTGTTCAAATTTATGTGAATGTGGAAAATGCCTTTGGGAGATCAACGACCCCCAATTAAACCAGGCAACGCTCGAGCCTTAATAATAATAATATTCCCTTGCCCTTTTCAATAAATTGAACAGCTAGACCTAAATAATAATATTCCCTTGCCCTTTTCAACATGACAATTTATTCGAGCTTCTCTTTTGAACAATAAAATAAAAATTTAAAATTAAAGCGACGCTTTGCTCGCAGCAAATTTCATCAATAGAAGAGTCGACGCGTATTCTGACTTCCTTTCGTAACAAATTAACATGCATTCTTCAATGTCTTTTCCACAGTTTTAGAAGTCAATCTATCTGCTTTATATTCGTTGTTATGTGTTCCAACCTTAGAACTACTATATACATACGTGTGTGTGTGTGTGTGTGTGTGTGTGTGTGTGTGTGTGTGTGTGTGTGTGAATGCGAACCAAGCCTTCACAATCTAATCTCTTCAATGGCAGGCACAATAATGTCTCCATGTTGGTTGATTCTTATTATTATTATGATTCTCTCAGCTATAATGCTTCAGACAACTGATGCAGATTCTGAAGAGAACACAAAGGCAAGTAATATATATCACTGCTGTCATCGCTCTTCATTCTTTCACTGTTTTAATTTACTCTTCCCCGGTTTCAAGATTAAGTACTTAATTATAGTCGTCATTGATTTGAGATGACTATGAAGAATCATAATTTTACCTATGAGTTTGTTTTCTTTCTATCTCTTTATATATGCAGATGTATGTATGTGTATGTGCATGTGTATGTGAGTATATAATCTCTTTGTTGATGCAGAGTTATATAGTGTACATGGGTAGCCCTCCAAGTGGTGAATCACCCAAATCAATGCTTCACATGAGCATGCTCCAACAAGCCATTGGCAGGTAGATATGTGTGGGTGTATGGTACTTAAATCCAACTCGGGTAGGTTGATTAGACTAGTTAACCGGTGAATAATCAGTCCAGTAGTCTAGAGTTTTGGACAGGTTGATTGGGTTGAATTTTATATTTTTTTTTTTCTCTCATTGTTAAGCCTAAAATGACATTGTTTTGCCTAAAATGACGTTGTTTTGAATTATTGGGCCAAAAAAAAACAACCCATCAGATTTTTGCTTTAGTAACTCCATTTTGTTGATTATATATGGTTTATGTTTGAATGTTGTATTTACTTGTGGATCAATAACTTATTTATTTAAATATTACTCTTTTTATGGTTATATACTTTTAATTAAATTATATTATCTTAATCATGATTGGATTGATCCAAGTTCAATCACGATTAGACCACTAGCCCATAAACCATGGCCTTGATCAATTTAATGACTAGTACAATTTTCAATATGTTTTATTTATGGACTAATTATATATATATATATATATATATGGAGAACATAAATGTATTTATGGGCGTGTCTATTTATAAGAGAAAACATTTAAAATCAATTTCCATAATAATTCAATTGTTACGTATGTGTGGTTAGTGAAAGAGCAGAAAATTCTCTAGTCCACAGCTACAAGAGGTGTATCAATGGGTTCGTTGCGAATCTCAACGAAGAAGATGTGCCAAAAGTTGCTGGTAATTATAAATAACCATTTTGCATGCATCCTTATTCGTGTCAAAATTAATTAAACTTTGTTGCCCTCTTTTATTTGTAACATAATAATTCAATCATTCAATCAAACTAACGGACCAAATAGAATAATTGATAGGAGAATATAGTAATATTTTCTTATCGTTAAACTAAGTCATCGTCTTCATCAAAATTTATTGTGATAATCAAGAGTTTTGGGTTGTTGTTGTCAGCAATGGAAGGAGTGGTTGCTGTATTCCCAAATGGATGGAAACATCTGCACACTACAAGATCATGGGACTTCATAGGATTTCCAGAACAAGTGAAAAGAGCAATCACAGAAAGTGATATAATCATTGGAATGCTTGACACTGGAATCTGGCCAGACTCCCCCAGCTTCAATGACTCTGGATTTGGTCCCCCACCCTCCAAATGGAAGGGAGCTTGCTATAATATTACTTGCAACAAGTACATTCCCGTATCTATTTCTTGACATTTGAAAACTGTTATTATATTTCCCACAGTCTCGTCTCATGTCATATTCAATACAAATATATTAATGTTAATTTTTTGAGAAATTTTCATCAACTACTTATACAGTAGACATTATATATGCCCAATAATTTTTTCAGACCTTAGTTCTTTATTGTTACAACATAGTATTGTAAGGAGAGACATTGATATATTATGTAAGTGGACTACACACATTAGATGGATTCCACTCACCAATTCTCTGCTGCCACAAGGAAATAGATAGATACACAAGGTGAGTAGACCCCACATATTAGGTGGGCCTCACCCACAACATGTATCTATCTCATTAAGCATCGTTCTATTGTAATAAAGAGAGATCGAATCAGAAAACTGCTTTGTTTTACAGAGTCTCATATCATATTCAGTGTGTGTGTGTGTCGGTTTTCTGATAAATTTTTATTAACTCCTTATATATGCCCAATAATTTTTTGGTCGAACTTAATTCTCTGTTGTTGTACCATGTTATTATAAGAAGAAAGATAAATATATCAAAATTCATATTATAGTGATTAATTTTCATCCGGTACCACATCTTTCTATTTCCTTAAACATCGTGCTGCCATAGCAAAGGGAAAGAATCAAAATTCCTCCATTTACGTGTTAAAAACGAGGCATATTCATTATATATTTTCATCATCTATATCACTACTAACAACAATATCATTTCAAAATTGAACTGTGCGCAGTAAAATCATCGGAGCAAAATATTTCCGAAGTGACAAAAATTTTAGTGGAGATAATATCAAATCTCCGATAGATTCTAATGGGCATGGAACACACACAGCATCAACAGCTGCTGGAGGGTCAGTGAATTCAGCAAGCCTCTACGGTCTGGGCTTAGGAACAGCACGAGGAGGAGTGCCATCAGCAAGAATAGCAGTGTACAAGGTTTGCTGGTCGGAAGGATGTCGAGACGCAGACATCCTCGCAGGTTTCGATGAAGCAATCGCTGATGGTGTCGACATACTCTCTATCTCAATTGGAGGCAAATCACCTTCACCTCTAAATTACTTCAATGACATTTTCGCCATTGGAGCTTTTCATGCGATGAAACATGGGATCTTGACCTCCGCTTCCGCTGGTAACAGCGGACCCTTGCTTATGACCACCGTCAGTGTGGCTCCTTGGATTCTTTCTGTGGCTGCCACTACCACAGATAGAAACATCGTCACCAAGATTCAGATTGGGGATGATATTCTTGAGGTAAATTTTTTTTTTTTTAGAAAAAAAAGGGCCTTCAATTGATTTATATACTCCATTATGATCTTTTTATAGCTAAAACGAATTAGGTGAGTTGGGTTTGGGACTTATCCGATCCAAGATACATATGCTTCCAGACTCAAAAAATACTTACATAGATATGCTTATAAATCGTCCAAGGTCTTCACATGAACAATGAAATTTGAACACACGTCTTATGAATAATGAACCAAATCCTTACCAACTGAACTAACATTTTATTGGCATGGCAACAAGCTTTTTTTAATTAAAAAAATAGATGAGTCGGGTTAGGAGCTCCTTAGCTAGGGTTAAGATATACATCCAAACTCAAAGAGCACTTATACAAAAAATACTTACATGTTGTTCACCAATAAAATCACAACCTTGTGGGTTATGAGTAAAATCCTTATTAATTGAACTAATTCTTTGTTTGCATAACTTTATTTTTTAATCCATGATTTTTTTTAATTAAAAAATAGATGAGTTGGGTTAGGAGCTCCCTAACCAAGGTCAAGATATGTATTCAAACTCAAAGAGCGTTTATAAAAAAGATACTTACATATTGTTCACCAATAAAGTCACAATCTTTTGGATTATGAGTAAAATCTTTATTAATTGAACTAATTTTTTGTTGGCATAACTTTATTTTTTTTAATCCACAATGTTTGAAACTTAAGAACACTTAAAAATATTTATCACTAATATGTTTATTGGAAGACATTTAAGTCATTCAGTCTAATCATTGTACATATGCAAATTACATGCCCATATTGTTTGAAAAATGAAGAGGAGTATTTCATGGTTAATTGAGAATGTGTGGAAAGATTAGTTGTTTCTATGTTTGCAGGGACGTTCAATAAATACGTTTGACTTGAATAGCACTCGGTATCCTATAGTTCATGGTGGGGATGTACCAAACACCATTAAAGGCTATAATAGCTCTGTATCCAGGTATTGCCATTAAATAGCATGTAATTAATTTTTCTCATTCCCATCTTTCTTTTCTTAAATAATTTAAATTCTCTCAAATTTAATTATGATTTTGCTCAAAGTAAGAAAATTATAAAAAGAGAAGGATAATTCATTAATTATTGATTTGATTTAATCCTCAAGGATAGTACATAAGTGCTGCCTCCTGCCTAGATATTCTATTTAATTTTCTTTATTTATTTTAAGGCTTTGTTTTGAATTAATGGAAAAAAAATTTAGGGGAAATAAAACTAAAAAGAGAAAATTAGATTGAGAAAAAAGACATTTTTATCCTTATTTTCCCCTAATTTCATCGTAGAGATGAAGAAGCCTAAACAAATTAAAAAATGTCTTAGAAAGAAAAAAAAATCATTTTTTCTTTTTTTTTCTCTCTTTCCTATTTTTCTCTCGTTTCAATTTAATTTGGCGCAGGTTCTGCTTAGAAGACTCAATGGACCAGAATTTGGTGAAGGGGAAGATAGTTATTTGTGATGCCCAATTGGAACCTAAGCAAATTGGATTTGCATCTGGTGCTACTGGCGTTATAATAAATTTTAGTGCAGTCAAATTTCTTGATAGTGGCTTAGCTTTTGCCTTGCCAGCATCTTTCGTCGACCTCATGACAAAAACCAGGTGTGTGTGTGTGTGTGTGTGTGTGTGTGTGTGTTTTTCCATCATCATCTTCATAATCTCACATAAACCCTAACAAGTTCTAAAATGAATATCACAGCATCAACGACGTAACCGCGACGATATTAAAGAGCAGCCATTATTACAATGATTCTTTGGCACCTGCTGCTGCCACCTTTTCCTCAAGAGGTCCTAACCTAGTTACACCTGACATCCTCAAAGTAAATTAACTTCTACCGCTCACTTCAAGTACTTTTTTGAGTGATATAGATTCATGCAATTAACTACATGTATCATATATGATAAAATAAAGCCGGATATAGCAGCACCAGGAGTTAATATTTTGGCTGCGTGGAATCCAAATTTACCTCCTTCAGGAGTGAAAGGAGACAAAAGACAAGCACATTATAATTTCGATTCAGGGACATCAATGTCTTGCCCTCATGCCACTGCCTTGGCTGCTTACATCAAATCCTTCCACCCTTCTTGGTCTCCTACTGCAATCAAGTCTGCCATTATGACTACAGGTGCATTTTTGTGTATAATTATGCATTCAAAAACAACTCAAATTCAAAAATATAAAGTATTTTTTAAAGTAAGATGTTAAAAAATATATATATAAAGTATTTTGGGTTTTTCAAGATGCAATAAGTTAATGAGATTTTTCTAAAGATATCCTTAATTAATTAGGGGATGTAATTAATTAGGTTTTTTCAATGGAGACACCCTATTAAATAAAGATAAAAATGCAAAGAATAAGTAATTTCAAAGACAATTAATTAACCCTTTTAGAAATGTTATTTGATTAAAAATACCTTAAAATATATTAAACAGGCAAGTTTTTAGTATTATATGTTAAGATGTACTACCCTTAGTCCTAGTTAAAGGGCAAAATTAACTAACTTCACAATTTTTAAAGAATGATAAAGATAATAAAAAATGTTTGATTTTCTAATTTTTCATTCATCAAAATTAATAATTAACCACAATAAGACATGTCTAAGAATTATAACTTAGTACAATTAAGGAAGGTAATATTGAGGAGGAAAAAAAAATAACAGCTAGTACATCTTTGCTCCATATTATTTGATCCTATGTATAAAATAGCATGTCATTAAATTTTTATTATAATGTTCTCATTTTAACTTTTATTAAATATTGAAGAAATAAAATATGTTACTCATTCGTCCCAAATTATAAGACACTCTTAGAAAAATCTCAAATACCAATAAAACTTTATTAAATACACTTAACAATTTTAATTTTTTAAAAAATAAAAATATAAACTTTTAAAATTATATTTCATTTAATAATTTTAAATCTACATTTAATTAATATTACATGGATAGAGAGAGAGAATGGATAATATTAGAACAAATTTATTTAATGAAACATTAATCTTTTTAAAGTGTCTTATATTTTGAGACTGTAAATCTCCCCCAAAAATACCTTAATTATAATTTGTAATGAAAGAATTATTATAATATATATATATATATATATATTTAATAAGAATAGAGTTGAAAGCTTGTTATTTTTAGCTAGAGAGTTAATATCTCTTATAATTTTTCTTGATTTACGAAAAATGCATTGAAAGTTATTAGAGCCACTAGCCCAAAACGCGTGACTCCTTCGACCATTTTATACCCTCCTAATTTATATTCTCCGACCAATGTGGGACATTTCCAACACAAGCCTGCTAGATATCTAATCGTCATTATATCACATTATTTAGTGTTGTAATTAAGTTTCAATTTTCCCCTTTTTCTTACAGCTACACCTATAAAATCTGATCTATTGAACCATGCTGAGTTTGCATACGGAGCAGGCAATATAAACCCAACAAAGGCACTAAATCCTGGTTTAGTATACGACGCTAATGAAACAGACTACTTCAAGTTCCTATGTGGACAAGGTTACAATGACTCATTACTTCAAGTCGTAACAGGAGAAAACAGAACTTGTGCTGAAGTCACCCATGGAAGCGTGTGGGATCTAAACTACCCTTCTTTTGCTGTGTCCACTACGTCTCCTCGATTGGACGAGGCTCGAGTTTTCACAAGGACTGTCACAAACGTTGGGTCACCAACTTCTATATACGAGGCCACTGTGACTGCTCCAGAAGGACTCGACATTCAAGTGAATCCTCGAAGGCTATCGTTTACTTCCTTGGGACAGAAGCTGTCGTTTAATGTTACTGTAAGTGGGTTTGTATCTTCCATGGCTTCTGCTTCTTTGACCTGGGATGATGGCACCTACCAAGTGAGGAGCCCTATCATGGTCTTTATATATCCTATTAATCAATGATAATTAATTATGCACTTTTGCTTTAAGTGATGTGGTTTAAAGTGTAATATTTATGTTTTGAACGAATGTTGATGTACTGCAAGTTGCTGCTCTATAATTTTAATCTGTGGTGATGCATGTGGTCATTTTCTCTTCTTAGGTCTTCTTATATGAATCATTTGTTATATATTGTCTTAAATTGTCTGTAGGATCTATGATTTGATTTGCACGAAGGTTGATGTGATTTAACTTACGTATAATATATGACTGCAAGCTGTTACTGTATAATCTTAATCTATACGATGATACGACCACTTTCTCTTCTTACAGTACTAGAAAAACCATTTACATAGTGAAGACGGGATTTGGGTTAAATAATAATTATATAACAGTTATTTCAAATAATTATTATATGGTCTCGAGACTATATAGTGATTTTTTTTTTAATTTAAAAGTGAAGGGAAGTAAATGCCATGTCATGGGGCCCTCTTCTGCATGTTCTTATTCACAGGCTTCTTCTTCTTCTTCTTCTCCTCCTCCGCCATTGCTCTAACGAGGAAGCTGCCACCAGCCAAGCAAGAGACTGGTTGTGTCTCTGCTCGAAACCCATATTTCTTGAATGATCTGAGCCCACTGAGTAGTTTAGTCTCAATAATATGTCTAAGGAAATTAAAGCAAAGGATCTAGGAAATTCACAAACGTCTTAATTGAAGACTTGCTCCTCCATGCCTAGTGCAAGTGAAGTGGCTCACCCATTTCACGGTTCACATCAACAAAATGTTTTCCAAAAAAAAAATGTTTCATGAATAATATAATAACAATTTCAATATAACCTTTCATTATATCACTCCTTAATTATATTTCTTTCTCTCTTTTTTTTGTTATTAAATGAATGATATTTTAAAAGTTTATCGAAAAATTGTAATTTCAAACAGTAATTAACTAAATTAAAATTAATATTCATAATTTTATAAAAAAATATCTTATAGAATAAAATAGAGAAAGTATTTAATAATAAGATTTAAAAAAAAAGATACCAACAAAAAAAGCTATCACTACTGAAAACACCGTACTTTGATAGCGTATGGCGGTCTATTGCCACTTTTTTGGGGTATTTGACAATCCCACCAACACTTCAAAAAGTGAAAATTTGAAAAGTTGTCAAAAACTTGAATAATATTATCTTAAACATCTTTTATTTGCATGTTATTTATCTTTGACAACATTGTAAAATTATTTTAAATTAATTACTTATCTTTTAAAAAATCAATACATATTTTTATAAATAATTATTTAAACACTACTAGAAAAATAAAATTTAGTGAGGGATCCTGTAACATTTGAAAAAATTTAATCCTGATTTATTAACCTAATGAGGGTAATTAGTGAATTAATGAGGTATGTGGCTAGAGGAGCTTAACTTAGTGTATTTGTGGTGATTTAAGCCCTAGAAGTGACTTCAGATAAATGGCAGGCCACCCAGGCAAGGAAAGAAGAAGAAAAGGTGAAGAATTATCCTCTGTGCCACATGCTGCGGCATGTGGTCAGTCTACCACGGCCCACAAAAATGAATTTGAATGCAACAGGTTCCTTTATGCCATACGCCACGGCGGAGGGCAAAAATCTGATAAATCAAATACGTTCTGCGTGCTAAAACAGAAGAAGAGAGGAGAGAAAAATGAAGAGCTCGACTTAAGCTCTGCTAAGGCACAGCATTGCCTTCCATTGTTGATGTTTTGAAACTCCCAAACACCCAAGATAAGTTTATGGTGCCTTATTCTTCCTTTCTCTCCCTTATTTATAATGATTTATGGTAGGGTTTGAGTTGGAAGATGAGGTTTTGGTTCATAAGAGTATGGGTTCGATTCCATTGGTTAAAATGAGTATAATAGGAGTTGTTTAATGTATTTTGAAAGTGGTTAGTCCATAGGAGCATTTAATATTAAAAATTAACATAAATATGGTAGTTGGGAGAGGTTTATGTACATTAATGATGGTTTGAGGTGTTATTAGTGATAATGTGTATTAATGAAACCTAAAGAGCCCACTGGGTATGAATGGATAGAGATTTATAGGATTGGTAGAATAGAGGAAAGGTGGAATCAATGTTGATATTTCCCTTAAAGTGAGATTGTAATGATATTCTTGCTTATGATTGTAGTGTGAATCATTTGGCACCATTCAAGCTTGTTGAAGCTTTAGGAAGTTGGTATAGTGAGGGGTAAACCTTTGATCTCTCAAAGGTTTGAAATAACCGGGGGAAACTTAACTTTTATGGTTGAATGCTAATTGTGTTTGTGAAATGTGATTAATGATTTAAATGTATGATGCATATTGGCAATGTCTGACATGTGAAATGATTTTGGGAAAGAAAATATTGATTATACCACTTACTTGCAATTTAAAAATTTACTTGTGACATGTTACAAAAGTGGAGATTTGTGTTATGTAATATGTTGAATGTGTGGAGTAATTTAATATAAGTATATGAGATTGTTCGCTAGGAAATTATTATTTGATACGCATATTATGCGAGAAATGTGCATAGCATAATCATTGGCGGAAGTTTGCCTAAGGAAGGGAGTAGATTGGTTTAAATTCACATGGTACTAACAGTAACCGTTAGAATTGGAAACTTGCCTTAGCACCAACCGTTGGAATCAAGAGGTAGCCCTTGTCCCATGATTGATTTGAGATTATCCCACTTGTTTACGAGGGACTTGAACCTAACTAATCTCCACCGGTTCATAAGAAGGCTAGATTAGGGGTACGACACCCTATGGTTGTTAATACTAGGGGAAACTGAATTACATAAGTAAGTGAGTTCACCCTGATCTGGTAGCTCCTTACAAGTGAAAGGTTGGGTTAGTTCGTAAAGGATATAGCCACGTGATAGCCACCGATTTTGTGTCGAAGGTAACAGGAGGATATAAAGTTGACATACGATCATGCATATAAGTCTGGCCACATGGTTGTTAGTTTTATTGTCTAACATGTGTTGAGGGTGCATGGTTGTTATTTTTGCGACCCCGTGTTGTGCTTGGTGAAATTTCATGATAAAGTGTGTTGTAGTAAGTCAGGTCATATGGTTGTTAGTTTTATGAACCATAGTCGAGTGTTTATTTGTGATATCTGTGCTTATTTGCTTATTGCATTTAATTACAATTAATATGCAACTATATAGGTTAAGTAAGACTTGGTTAATAAATAGTTGTACTTATCCCTCAATTCTCAATATTTTCAAAACCTAGCTCATTGGATCTAAATCAAGGAAAGCACACAAAGGCCTAAGATTATAAAGTAATCCTCTTTATGCCTCTTTTTGTTACTTTCATGTGTATTTGTTGATGTACTTACCAACTAGGATCATTTGACATATTTTATGCATTACCTGCATGATTTTGTCTATCACTTGTGTATGTTGTACTCTGGGTTGGTGAATTTTAGTTGTAAACTCATGAATAGGGCTAAAATACTTGTGCAAGTAGAAATATATGTATTTTGAAAGATTTGGAATGAAATTAATGATTTTGTGCAACATTCTCTCCTTCTAAATGTTTTATGAAAATCAGGGTTGAGTGATGATGTTATGATATGAGTGTTTTTGTTTGTATTTGGTGTTTTGCACGGGGTCCACATGAGTTCATTGAGTGTGGTCGGGTGGTTGGTGTGAGCTATTGGCATGAGTATTTGAGTTGGGACACCCATTTGTGAAATTTGGTAAAAAAGTTATCAAAATAGATTTTGATGTCTACTTTTATGGAAAATGAGTTTAAGTATGAAACCAGTGCCATTAGCTAGAGTTAAGAAAAAACTCCGTGTAGACACCAAAACTATCTTAATCAGACATCAAACGGAGATTTGGGATGCATCAAAAGTTTACTCCCTATGTTGTCAAATGACAGCAATGTTGCTATCAAATTCGTGCAATGTGTCGCGGTGCATGGCACAGAGAAGACAAGTCACGGTGCACATGCCATAAGCCATGATGCATATGTCATTTTTTGCACAAAATTTGTTTTTGAGTTTTAAAACTTATTATTTTAGGTCACAATTGATTTTCAAGCTTCCGCTTTACTTTCAAAATTTTGATTGGAGATTATTAAACAATGTTTGAGATTCGACATGTTGAATTTGAGATCCTTTTCAAAAAGGATTAGAGAAATTCCTTTTTTTATGAAATTTTATAATTTGGTAATTCTTTGAGGATTAAACCCTAGATTGCCATGATTTGGAATTAAACATGGTTTAGTAAGGGGGACCTTACAGTTTGGTATTTTGGTTTTTACAAATACCTCACTAAATGCCATTTTTTCTAGCTAAATTGCATTTTAGCAATGGATTTTATCCCTCGTTAAATTCATAATTAAAAAAAGGCTCATGAAATCTAATAAGGAATCGTATTTCCCTTACTAATTAGCGAGGGATTCAGTCCCTTGCTAAAATTAGTTAGGGATTGAATCCCTCACTAATCGCTCTCTAATACTATTCAAAATTCGATAATCTTAATGATGGATTAGTCCCTTGCTAATCTCTCACTAAATATGCCTATATTTAAAAATAATGATGCCACACTCACCACCATGTGTGCGTCAACTTACGACATGTCACTAAAAAAACCGGCCTTGTTAACCGCCATGTCACCTACCCTCTCATACCCTATGAGTCCATCACCCGCCACATGTGCGACAACTCATAACATGTCATTGTCCACCTGCGCCATGTCACTTGCTTCTTACATCAATATCATATAGTATGTGTTATATCAAAACTAAGACTTGAAACCTTTAACCTTATACCTTTCGAGCTTATGCTCTCCTTCTTTGTCAGTTGAACCAAAAGGCACTGCAGTTACTGTATGAGAAATTACATATATATTATTAAATATATAAATATATCAAATAATATATTATAAAAATACACACTATATAATATTAAATTTTGTTTTCAAGTATTAATATGTTAAAAATATTTATGTTTTATTTAAAATTCTTTATATTATGTTTTTAATAAAATATTAT